GTGTGTGTGTGTGTGTGTGTGTGTGTGTGTGTGTGTGTGTGTGTGTGTGTGTGTGTGTGTGTGTGTGTGTGTGTGTGTGTGTGTGTGTGTGTGTGTGTGTGTGTGTGTGTGTGTGTGTGTGTGTGTCCTCCCTCCCCCTTCCCCCTCTCTTTCTCCTCTTCCACTCTCTCTCTCTCTCTGTCTGTCTCCTCCCCCCCCCCCATCGCTTTCTATGCATTTACGTATGTGTTTGTGTGTATGTGTGTAAATGCATGTATGTATGTTTGTATGTAAGTATCCATCTACCTCCCTCCCTCTCTGTATCTCTCTCTCTCTCTCCCTCCCTCCCTTCCACCCTCCCTCCACCTCCTTTCCCCCCCCTCCCTCCTCCTCTCCCTCCCTCCCTCCTCCCTCCCACCCTCCCTCCCTCCACCCACCCTCCTTTCCCCCCTCTCTCTCCCTCTCTCCCCCCTCCCTCGCTATCCATCCATCCACCTCCCTTACCCACCCCGCCCTATCCTCCTCACCTTGATAGTGAACTTGTGCAGGACCGCCATGCCGTCGAACAGGTGATTGTACCAAGTGTCGCCGATGTTGAGGACTCCGGGGCCATTTCTGAACAGGTTTCCTTCCAGCCACTGCGGGATCTCGCCTGGGAGGAGAGAGAGGAGGAAGGGAGGAGTTGGTGGGTGGTGGTGGTGGTGATGATGGTGGTGATGATGGTGGTGATGATGGTGGTGTGATGGTGGTGGGTGGTGGGGTGATGGTGGTGGTGATGATCACGATATTGCGATGCTGATGGTGGTGATGATGATGGTGATGATTGTGATGGTGGTGATGAAGATGATGATGATGATGACACTATCTATAAGTTTTGAAAATCCAATCATATGTAATCATAAGTATTAAGTGCCACGTGACTAAAAGAAAAAGAAAAACATTAAAACGAATCTGACGCCATGTTTCGGGAGTTGCCAGATATTCCTTTCTGACATTGGACTTTAGGTGTTATTTTTTTCATTTTTTTCTTAACCTTTTTTTTCAACTTTGTGTTATCATCTTGGGGACACGATATGGTAAGATATTCTATCATATCAAATTAAAAACGTACCAATCATTAGATATATAAGGTTTCGTTATCTCATTTTCTCATTCGTTAGTTCGTAAGTTAAAGTCTTTTAATATCATGATGCACTTGAAAATTTGTTGATGACTGATAACAAGGAGTAAATAAGTTGGGAAAATAAACAACAAAGTAAACAAGGTGGATAACAAGTAAACAGATACAGAAAGGAGTAAATAGAAAATGACAAATTGGTAACCCGGCCTCCCTACAAAAAAGGCGGATAAATATTTGAATAATGAATCGACAAAAAATCTAATATAAAAAATATACAACAAAAGAGAGATAATGGACAATACAATTTCATTTCGCATTCCAATAATATGATCAAAATAAACAGAGGGAAAACAGGAAAACAGATAAGATAATACAGAAAAGATAACCAATCAGAAAATACTTTAGTCCCGCACTCACTGTCAACCTAACCGATGAAATAAATCAGTAGTTACATTGCAACTTATAATGAAAATAAACAACGAGCAAGTTCAGAAATGCTAGATATACAAATAAATTAATTCAAAATAGGGAAAAGATGAATAAATATGAAAAAATGTAATGTTAACCTACCCTCATGGAAACGAAAAATATGCGTGAAAACCGTTGATATAACCTTTAAAAAATAAAATGCAAAAAGAACCAAAAATCATTATAGGCAAACGAATAAACACGTAAATGAATAAGAATATGAATATATATGCTGAAAATACTAAATGCTAGAACACGAAACACGAACCAATACAAATATATAAAAATAACAAGAAACTAAATTCCAAATCTGATATTTGGTCGTAAAAAAATTTTAGTTCCGTACTCACTGATAGATTTAAAAAAAAAAAAGTAGATCAATATATACAGAGATAAGTATATTGAAAAATAGCATAAATCAAATCATGCCTTCAAAGAAAAAAGAAATTCCGGCAAAATGCGTAAACATAAAGTAATAAATATTTTAGTCCCGTACTCACCGTCGACCTCGCCCTTGACAGGAGTCGTCGTCGCCTGGTCCATGGAGCGCACGTACACCTTATGCGCGTCGTCCATTTTGCTGTCCCGCAGGTTTTCCACGATGCGCTTGCATGATTTGTGCGTTTTGTTGACGTCGACGCCATTCCCCGTGTGCGTCGGGACCTCCGGGAAGACGTAAGAGGACATAATTCCCCCTTTTAATTCGACCTCCCTCTTTAGAATTTTTTTTTAGACCTCTCTATCCTCCTCCTCCCTTTCGATACCCGACCCGAATTTCCGAATTTTCCACACACAATAAAAAAAAAAAAAAAGAAAAGAGTGATCACGAACAGCCGACGGAAAGCCGATCAAACCCCCTTCTGCGTCGCTTTCGAACCCCGCTTGCCACTGAACCGAAAATTTCTCTCTCTTCCTCCCTCCCCGCGCGCGCCG